CATCAGTTGAGGTTTAGTTAATTTGTTTCTACGCAATGGTTTTCTGTTCCTTCATTCGGCATTTGTTGTCTTATTCATTGTTGTTGTTGGCATTTTTCTTTCAGTGATTGTTGCATTGTTTTTATGGCTATCTCTATAAAAAGCGCTACTTTATGAGCTTATCAAACAATTAAGATTTTTTATGTTAAATGGCCATAGTCGAGTAGTCACTATAAGTTGTTGGCTGCCTGGCACATTGACTGTGAGAGGGACACACACAACAGCTTGGCTTTTGCTGGTGTCGCCTTGTCGCTGATGATTGCTAAACATTTTCACACTTTTATTGCAGCAAATTGCTTTGTAACTGTATGTGACTGATTGTAATCATCATCAGTGGCGATCGATCATTTATTTGATCGTCTGTGGTCATGCACTCCGTTCACACATACCTACATAAATACTTTTGTCTGTGTGTGTGTAAAGTGCATTTCGGCCAACAGAAATAACAACAACAGCAATATCAAATGAAGAAAATCATTAAATGAACGATTGAGTGAGTGCATGCAATTAATCAATTTTCGACATATGCATACTAAAAAGTTGTCTGTTGACTGTGTTCAACAAATTCGTTGTTTATTGTAATGTGATGTTGTTTGTAGTTTAACACTTCCATTTGTTGCTTCTTTTTTGTATTTATATTCTCTTGACTTCGAAAAAAAAAAACAAAATTGCCAAGACTTTGTTGTTTTTTTTTTTAATTTTTCCATATAAGACCGTGTTTCAGCGGAAAATATAAAATAATTATTAACCATGCAACACGATTTTTATCGTACATACAATTATTTAACACTGTGTGTCTATAACGTACAGCAGAACATGATTTAAATGGATGCTCAAGTTTTGTTTGTTATAACCATTTCTACGCAATGGCTTATAAACACTTGCAACTTTTTTTAAAAAAGGACCAAATCTTTATAAGTTAACTCCTTATAACTGGGTCCCACTGTAAGTAAATTTATATTTATATATATATTTTTTTTTTTGGTGGGGTAAAGGTGTAACCAGGGGTGGAGCTTTTCAACATAAACCGTTGACTGTTGTGTTCCAAGTTTAACACTCAATTAATTGACACAACAATAGTTTATGGTTTTGGCGCTTAAATTGCTCTCTGTGTGCTTTAAATATTTAATTTATGATTATAGAAAAAATAAATAAACTAAAAAAAAACTATTTGTTGAAATTCAATAATCTCTAGCGTGGCGTAGACTAGAGAAAAACTCAAACCTTATATAGTAATAAAGACAATGATAGCAAAAACACTTTTTTGCTATTGTTAGGCTCGTGGGTGGTCTTTGGCAAAGCAAAAAATTTGCATAAAATAACAATTTATTCGATTGATATTATTTATGATCGTTGGTGGCTTGAAACGATTTTGATTGACTAAACGGTGATTTATATTCAAGATAATTATTTTGAATTATTTTATTTGTCTTTTTTAATTGTTAATTTTATTGCTTCGCTACAAGGTTGAGGTGTCGACTGACGTGAATATGATTGACATATTTTGGCAATATTAATTCAAAGTAATAAATGGAATTTGTACAAAATTTGCACATGTTTTAATCCACACGCGTAAAGTTTGCCAAAAAGTTTTTGAGAAGAGAATGGCTTGAAAAGTCACATTTAACTCATTCAACTTTCTTTTTTTCATAAAACTCTCTTTCTTTTCGATAAAATTTCCCCGCTGCGTTCGCCAGTATACAGGATGAGATGAAAAAACTGCAACCAACTTCAGACTGCTGTCATTTCTAAGCCACTTGTCCGACGGCTGTTAAAATTATTCGAGTGACAGCTCATTATATTGCTTACAAGCGTACAAAAGCATCTTGCCGAGAATTTTCCAGAAAAAAAGTTATTTATCGTGGAATTCAAGCGTGATAGTGTGATTTCTTTATATTTGGCTGGGAAACCACAAGTGGCTAGAGTAGTTAGAGCACCTCAGCATTTAAATGTGAATAAATCTTTTGTGCCTCGTATCATCGCTCGTTACTCAAGAAAGTGTACCGAAGAAAACAGCAACATCAGCAGAAATGGTTTGAAAAGTAAAGAAGCGACTTGATCGAACATATTGCAATATTCCATTCGGCAAATTCCAAAAAGTGCAAAAACTTACACCGCAAAGAAAGAAAATAGACTCGGAAGAGCTTAAGAGTTGCTTAGATGAGAAAACATTCGTTGTCCAGCAGTTTGTAAACGAACAAAATGATAGTATTTACTTGGAACTCAAGCGCCGGCCATGGTGATGGTGTGAGCCGCCATAACAGCCGATGGTCGCTCTCCGTTCATATTAATCGACCGTGGCATTAGAATAAATGCCGAATATTATCGCGAAAATATTTTGGAGGGTGTATTAAAGCCTTGGGAACGCAAACATTTGGCCGCAGACCTAGAACATTCCAACGGGACTCAGCAACATCGCACTCAGAACGCGCCACCCAAGAATGGTTACAAAATTAGGTTCCTCGCTTCATTTCCAGCGCACAATGGCCACCAAAATCTCCGGATACCTATCCGTTGGACTATTGTGTCTGGAGTATTTTGTAAAACAAGGTTGGCAAAAAATACCAAAGTGTCGATCACTTCAAGCAAGCGCTTCGTCGGGAATGGGCCAAAATAGCGCAGAGCATCATTCGGGCAGTATTCGAGCAAAAGGAGACCAATCCGAATAAATCTAAACTTATTCTAAGATTTTAAGATATTTTCGACATTTTTTGCTTTCATTCAATAAAATTAAAAAAATTATGGCGTTCGACTTTGTTGAATTTTTTTCTCACCCTGTACAAAGAAACCTTTCATACATTTTTACCACAACCCATTAAAGACCCTTTTTCTAAATTTTAGAATTCTAATTCCATCAGTTTGAACAATACAATGGATAACATTTTTAGTGCCTCTTAGTAAATCTTATATCCTTCTAGTACGAATTTCCAAAAATTTCAAGATTCTAGCTTCAGCTGTTAAGCCTGGACGTTGATGAATAAATCACTCAGTCATCGCTAAGCTATTTTATAAATTTAACAACAAATGTATGCACAAGAAAAAATACACGCACCGAGAAGCTAAAATGATTTCATCAACATAGAATTTAATGCATTATTTTAAATCTTTGATTTAATTGATGACTCTAGTTAGGTCTTGTCAGAATATAACTACTAAATATCCAAACTAAACCCATAATTTGGCCTTTGAAACGTCATTTTGAAAATCTGTTTCCTTCAGATGTTTAATAAATACAAATTAATGAGATTCTGTTAAAAATATCTTATGTAAAATTAAAAAATTATAAACTATTAGATCTAATTCCAATAGATTGATTTATTTATTTTCCAATTCATAACATTTGTACCTAAACATATCCGCCGCAGTGTGGCAGATGCGTTGGCGTGTCATCAAAATTAACATAACACAAACCTAGAGATAAACATCTCATATCTCTGTTAGGACAAAGAATTTGTGTGTATGTAGTAAGAATATTTCATGCGTTAGCTATGCGATGACAGATGGCGCCATAACCATTCGCAACAATGCCAACCTCTTTTGTCGTTACAGAAATTTGCTATTTTTTGCCATTCGTGTTGGTTCCAAACAAAATATGCCTAAAACTTTTTTTCATCAATTAATTAATTTGTATCTAAAATAAATGAAGAGAAAAAAGGGAAAATAGTCACAGTTTACATTACCCAAGTTTGATTTTGGCTAGATCTCTTTGCAGTATTAAGAAGAATTGAACTGGAAAAATATATTGATCGCAATGGCTATTTTTTTTTTTTTTTGAAAATTCCTTTTATGATTTTCTACAAAAATAAAAATGTTAGAGAAGACAGCCATGAAATATAAACATTTCTGAAAAGCAATTGTATAGTAAAAATACCAGCGACAAGTTGGAAGGAGAGATAATAATTGTCGCAATTAACGTTCTAATCTAAATCTGGACATACGGTTGAGATAAAAAAAAAACTGCAACAAAGTCAAACACCATAATTTTAACATGTTTTTTTTAATTTATTGAATGAAAGCAATAAATGTCTCAAATAGCATCAAATTTTAGAATAAGTTTAGATTTGTTCGAATTGGTCACATTTGGCACGAATTATGGCCTTCAAGTGGCCAATGAAACCAACACACTCTGCCCGAATGTTGCTCTGCGGTATTTTGGCTCATTCCCGGCGAAGCGCTTGCTTGAGGTGATCGACACTTTAATATTTTTTAGTGCCAACCATGCTTTCGAAAATAATGCTGACACAATAGTCCAACGGATTGGTATCCAGAGATTTTGGTGGCCATTGTGCGCTGGAAATGAAGCGAGGAACCTCATTTTGTAACCATTCTTGGGTGGACCTGTTGCAATGTCCAAGGTGTCCGGCCAAATGTTTGCGTGCCCAAGGCTTTAATACACCCTCCAGAATATTTTCGCGATAATATTCGGCATTTATGCTGATGTCACGGTCGACTAATACTAGCGGAGAGCGACCATCGGCTCTTATGGCGGCCCACACCATCGCCATGGCCGGCGCTTGAGTTCCGGTGTTTACCCGAAGGTGCACATTTTCAGCTGAGCTCTTTGGTAAGTAAACACGATCATTTGATTGGTTTACAAACTGCGGGTTTCGACCAAGTCGCTTCTTTACTTTTCGAACCATTACTGCTGATGTTGCTGTTTACTTCCGTCCACTTCCTTGACGTAGGGCTACTCAGCCAGTATCACGGTAACAAGCGATGGTACGAGACACAAAAGATTTATTCAGACTGAATGAAGTTTCAAAACAATTTTTTATTAAAATGACGTTTTAAATTATTATTATGCAGTTTTCACATTAGCAAATTGGGAATTGCAAAATTAATTAGCATTTCTTATTAGAAAAACATGTTTGGTGGTTGATGACTCTGCTATTGAAAACTGGAATATATAACAACATAATTTTTATAGCTATAATAAAATTTGTTTATTTTTTTCTTTTCAGTTTCCCATTTGACCTCTTTTGTGGATTAATCAAGGATTTTTTCTTGCAAAATTGTGTGAAACTTTTATTCCTGTTACAAACAAAAAAGGTAAATAACATTTCATTTGCCATTTCTGTCTTAGCCACAATGTACGATGTTAAGTCAATGCAAATTGTGGCCTTTTGTAACTATCTGCTCCTTCATTCATTGATTACAAATTTCCGGTAATTTTTTATTGGCTCTCATGTAAATGTTATTGAAGAAATTACTTTGCAACTGTCGCGTCGCTTCGCAACACTAAGCAAAATGAAATGACATTTTTATGTGACATTAAACACAGCTTTAAACGCGTTTTTGTTGTTTGGTGATTTCGTTGATCATGTTTAATTTTTTTGTTTATTGTCATTGTATTGTAGATTTTTTGTTTGCTGAAATACCAACAAGTCGTTTCAGATTTAGCATGGACATGGTCTTAAAGAAGATGTTAAAATTGCATACTTAGCATTACCAAATGACATAGTCAGTTTTTTCACAATTTTCTTTTTGTACGTTAATACTACTAACTGCCCCTTGGCAATGGCAAATAATGTCGCGAATGAGGGGCAATTTAATAGGCCTTCCGATGATATTATTTTCGTTTCGTTTTCTTGTGTTTTTGCAACCAAGATGTAACATGTTGTTGTCTTCCATTTGTGACTTATATGGTAACGTGTTATGTTGTTTGTTATATCGCAAAAACAACAACGACAATTTACCTTTTGACAAAAGACATTTTCATTAAAAGTGATTACAAGAAGAAGAAAGAAATAAGTTACAAGAAACGGAAACATCTATTTAAGATTGAAATATATGAGAACCAATGATAAATACTGGGTTATAGAAAAGGACAGATAGATAATATAGATATTGGAGACTCGAGCAAAATAAAGCATAGGTAAAACTCACTAAACATTTCGAGCGGAAGTTTATGCTTACTTTTCCAAAGATATATAAAGGTTCTAGAAACTCGTTTAAAGTCGGAATGTAGAGAAGCCCAAATGCACACTCAATCAGGTAAATAAAGCTGTAGGCAAAAAGTGGGCCGATATTAAAAATTAGGGCGAACTTTCATCCAAAAAATTCAAAATACCACAGTAAAAACAATTTGCTTAGAAATTGTGCCTGAAAATTTAAATCAGAACGTACCAATTCTCGGAAATCTGAAAAAATAAACTTACCGTTTATTTGAAAAAGCCATCCAAATTGTAGGCCCTACATATATATATATATATATATATATATATATATATATATATATATATATATATATATATATATATATATATATATATATATACATGATCAGCATAAATTTCTAAATCGATTTAACGATGTCCGTACGTCTGTCTGTCCATCTGTCAAAATCATCTGTTGCCTACCACAGCCAATGAAAGAAAATTGCCTATGTAAGTCCACGTCTCCATATAGGCCTCAATGTTACAGTAACGCCATTAAATTGGTAACACCGTTTATATGATTTTAGCAATATTTTTCAACTGATTTTTTTTTTGAAAATTTGCAAATTCCATTCAGATTCCTTCCAAAAATATGAAATACTGTTATTTTTGAAATGTTTAAATACGAATACTACGAATATTTCGCGAAATATTACGTTTTTCAATCGACTCACCAACTTTACCTTATATTAAAAAAATAAATAACGGAGCTTCAACAGCGCAAACTATAAAATGGGGCCACCAATAAACACATGTAATTATAGGTCTAATCAAATATTTTACAACCTCCATCATTAGGAGAAAAGTAAAACCTTTTAACGAATCAATCAAAGCTGTTATATTTCCAAAAGGTACTCACCAAAGCTCTCTTTGATTTAAAGAAAAGTCGAGCGATTACTGCCCTAATGAAAAGGACATCATGGTTTAAAGATAAATTTTCCTAGTCAAAACCTCAGTATTTCAAACAACCGGTATCTTAAATATTAGATAACCCAAACATTTTTTCATGTTGTGAAAATCCGTAAGTAATTCTTGAAAATATCTTTTATTTTTCGAAAGCTATTATTGTTGGTGAGCTTTATATTTGTTAGGATAATCCATCCCAAAAAATTAATAACTATAGAAATATTCTAAATCTGAGTAATTTTAATTGGCCCCATTAAAGTGGTTAACTTATAAAACATGTAATGTATAGCTTCAAATATCCATATTTCAAAACTACATTTAAAGAATTGTGAATACTTTACATGGGATTCAACATATAGTAGATGGCAAATAAATTGATAAATCTATTTCTAAATCAAGCCGATACAGATATTAAAATTCCCTCAAAATAATTCGATTTTATCAATAAGTTGAATATTTTATAAAATCTAGAATCTTTAATTCCTCCCTCAAACAAACCGGTTTCTTTTCACTGTTAATGCTTTTTATTTTCGATTCATTTTTTTGCTTTATTTTAACTTTCATTTCATTCAAAAAATAATTAAGTTTTCAAACTGAGATAAAAATCTTGTTTGGTGCTAATCAATTAGTCCTCGAATGTTATTTTTAGTGTGTCTTTGGGATCTCGCGTCCATCCAAGCACATGGCATGAGGAGGCGAATTTACATAAAGAAACAAAGATTTCAGTTGCTGCTAAGAAATCAATATTGAAAGGCGCTGAAATCTAAAAAATAAAATGCAAGCAAACACTTAAAGCAGCAGGTTGTTGGTTCATAAAAAATATCAGAAAAAAGTGCGAACCTTACTGTCGATTCAATCCCAAATGCATGCATTCGGAATGGTAGCTGGCATATGCATATGAGTTGCCATTCAGTTGAATTTTTTTTTTGCCTTTTTCCAAGCTGGCCTAACTGATAGAAACATCAGAGTGTGGCTTTTCTTAAATCCTGCAAAATATATGCAAACACCTTCATATCAAGGTAATATGAGAGCATGGACATGCCATTTGGAGGAGAGCTGGGCTTAACGGGGCCACAAGAGTTTATCACTTGTCTGCCAAACTTTAGAAGGAAAACATAGTAACATGGCATAGTAAGGAACCAAAACAAAAGTCATATGCATGAAATGGCGAAGACAACAAACCAAGAAACAAAAAAAAAAAAAACGCAATAGAAAAAATCATGTTGTTGCTGGTGCGGAGTTCACTTATTTATCTTTAAAATGTTGCGTTTTATGTTGATGGTGTTTTTAGGACTTTTTTTTTTGCTTTGCATTTATTTCTTCCTTCAGCTTTTGACAACGAATTTGCATGCGTTTAAATTGTGTTTTGAGCCTTGTTAAATTTTTAAGTCATTCTTTGGCTTCCCGGCAATGTTAAATATCAAATCGAAAAGAAACATCAGGCAAATAAAACTAAATGGAGTAATTCTCAAAGAGCCATTGGAACAGTGGTAAAAAATGATTATGGTTTTTTATGGTGCTACTTGAGATATAGATCAAAAGTGAAGTTCAATTCTGTATCTTCGATATTATGTAATTGAAGTTTCTATGATAAGGATTCGTTCCTTCTCACGTAAGCCAACCATTTTGTCATTCATTTTTAAGCTCAGTCGTTCATTTTCTCTTTATATCTTTCCTTGTACTTCCATCGTTTTTATTGTCCTTGCAACAAAAATAAAGTTGTACTCAAACAATATATATGCCTTTTTGGCTTAAATTATATTATTAGTTTCTATCTATCCTTTTTTCTCAAGAGAAAGTGAGGACAATTGTAAAACCGAAGCAACAACAAACAAAGAAAAAGATAAAAAAAACACCTTTAATAACTAGAGTATTCATTGGGATTGGGAAAGTATTTTCATGGGATTCTTTGTTCAAACGAACAAATGGTGTAGTACAAAAACGTACATCTATATAACACATGTTTAATTCCACAAAAATTTAATCATAACATGCGTATGACCAAAATTTTAGCCATCTAGATTGGTTCCTTTAGAATATAGAATGTTAAAATCGTATATCTACCCTACACTTCTATAATGAAGGGTTAAAATACTGTGTGAATTACAAGGAACGAGATGGACGAAAGGGCTGGATATAGTTCCCACTGTTCGTTTCTAGGAATAGTTCCTTCGAACTTGTTCGTTTCATTTCCAGCGCACATTGGAAACCAAAATCTCCGGATACCAAACCGTTGAACTATTGTGCCTGAAGTATTTTGGAAAGCAATGTTGACACTAAAAAATACTAAAGTGTCGATCACCTCAAGCGTGAGCTTCGCCGGGAATGGGCAACATTCGGGCAGCGTGTGACGGTTTAATTGGCCGTTTGAAGGCCATAATTCTTGCCAAAGGTGATCAATTCGAACAAATGTAAACTTATTCCAAAATTAGAAGCTATTTCCGACATTTTTTGATTTCATTCAATAAAGTTTAAAAAATGTAAAAATTATGGTGTTTGACTTTGTTGCAGTTTTTTATCTCACCCTGTACACCAATTATAGAATTCCAAATAAATATTTTCAACATCATCAGAAACAGTCAACTTGTAATTAGGAAAAAAAATTTAAATAATTTCGAATTATAGGTTTAATCTTCCTATTCGTATAACTCAACCGCAATTACCGCCAACTAATTTCTCACTGAACCCACTGTCTCTCACTCCGCCCCGACAAAATAGCAAGCGTTAAACATGAACTAAAAAACTTAAGATGCAGACCCCAAAAATTTAATGTGCGTGACCGACCACAAGATGAACACGGTAAGAAAAAGTGTACGCATGCTTGCACACATTATCGGTTTTTGGGGGCTCTCGTTATTTTCGCTAAAACGCAAGTAAACAACATACACACGAACAACAACAACATGAACATTTTAAACGCACTTTTCGTTTAATTTGCTCTTAAGCGCACACTCAAGACTCTGGACGAATGGTTAACAAACGTGGCATCGCCACAATTTTTGTTGCTGCTGTTGTTGTTGCTTTTGTTGTTGTGTTCTAAAAACGCAAGAAAATCAAAGCCAAACAACTAACAAGAGCATTACAAAATGTTGCTTGTTTCCGTTTCAAACTTTGCTAAACAAGACATTTTGTTGGAGCATGTTAAGGCCAAGCTAAAAATGTGTTCTCTCGTCCCGATCGTACTACCTATATACGTATGTATGTGTA